TGAACTTCCACTTATTTTACTACTCCCCCTTGCAGAGGATGAGCTAAGCAAGTCGTCGGTGATTAAGTCGCCGGCCAAAGGACGCAATCGCAATGGCTCTACCACAGAAATGGCTGTGGATCAGCTGCAGGCCAGCGAGAAGCTTATTGCAGGTAAGATCCGGCAGACGGAGGCCCTAGACCCACTCGCTTATCCCTTGACTCCCATTAGAACTCAATGAGACCTGGGAGGAGAAACTCAAGCGCACCGAGGAGATCCGCTTGCAGCGTGAGGCGGTCTTTGCGGAGATGGGCGTGGCCGTGAAAGAGGACGGTATCACAGTGGGCGTATTCTCACCCAAAAAGACACCACATTTGGTTAACTTGAACGAAGATCCCAATTTGTCGGAGTGCTTGCTCTACTACATCAAGGACGGACTCACACGTCTGGGCACACATGAAGCTAATGTTCCGCAGGACATTCAGCTCTCCGGCTCTCATATCCTCAAGGAGCACTGCACCTTTGAGAATCGCAACAGCACCGTGACCCTGTTGCCCCACAAGGATGCCATCATATTCATTAATGGCCGAAAGCTTGTTGAGCCCGAGGTCTTGAAGACAGGCTCACGCGTGATTCTGGGCAAGAATCACGTGTTCCGCTTCACCAATCCTGAACAGGCGCGTGAGCTGCGCGAAAAGATCACCGAGAACGAGGCAGAGAATGAGGTAGAGAAGGCGGACACACAGCAAGTCGATTGGAACTTCGCYCAGTGCGAGCTGCTGGAGAAGCAGGGCATCGACCTGAAGGCCGAGATGAAGAAGCGCCTCGACAACCTGGAGGAGCAGTACAAGCGCGAAAAGCTCCAGGCCGATCAGCAGTTCGAGGAACAGCGCAAGAACTACGAGGCGCGCATCGATGCCTTGCAGAAGCAAGTGGAAGAGCAGTCCATGACCATGTCCATGTACAGCAGCTACTCGCCCGAGGATTTCCACCAGGAGGAGGATGTTTATAGTGAGTAGAGGCTGACGACTAATGGATAAGTATATCAATGTTCTGCTCCGTTCCACAGCCAATCCCATGTACGAGTCGTGCTGGACCGCACGCGAAGCAGGGCTCGCTGCCTGGGCCTTCCGCAAGTGGCGCTATCATCAGTTCACATCGCTGCGCGATGATCTCTGGGGCAATGCTATATTCCTCAAGGAAGCTAATGCCATTTCAGTGGAGCTCAAGAAAAAGGTCGCTATCTGGCAAATTTCATTGAGGTGCGCCTATTAGACAGTTCCCTGCTTCTGTTTCTTTCAGGTACAATTCCAATTTACCTTGTTGACCGACACATTGTACTCGCCGCTGCCACCGGAGCTGGCCTCGAGCGTGACACCCATGCAACCGGAGGACGAGTACGGCGCACCGCCAGTCTCGAAGACTCTAGTCGCCGTTGAGGTCACAGATACCAAGAATGGAGCTACCCATTATTGGTCACTGGAGAAGCTACGGTGAGCAAATTAGACCCCAGGCACTTTTTGCTGCTCACATTCATTCTACTCTTTGCACTGTTTTGTTATATTCTTGCAGAGAATAGGCTAGAAGGTGTATTTATAAAATCATGAACAGTAAACACTGATCAAATATAAATACTCTACTCTATATAGTCCTCTTTATAT